GACTGTATTACTGTCAGATAGCAGAAGAGTTAACATAGCACAATGACAAAATTGTGAATGTACATAGTGGTCCATTTCATGTAAACTGATTCTGGTCCTTTATCTTGATTGGGATAGAAAAGAATATATCCTTTATATTAATGGCCATATACCATGTACCTAAGACCATAATTAATCTAAGTAAGATACCATGTTGAGGGGGCACCTGGGTGGTTCAGTCGGTTCAACATCTGACTCTTGATCTCAGCTCACGTCTTGATCTTGGGGTTGTGAATTTGGACCCCACGTTGGGCACCACATTGGGTGTGGAGCCTACTAAAAAGAAAAAGACACCATGTTTAGCATGTTAGCTGCAATTGGGGATATTACCTGGTTGAACCTGCAGTAGTCTACTGTCATTCTCTAGAATCTAGAAACATGGAGATATGGTAGTGGCCACCATCCCTGATCCTTAAGATCCTTAAGGCTGATACTAATACATTCCATCCTCCCTTGGATACAATGTTGCTTCTATCTTTATTAGGGATGAGGATGGGGCAGATTCAGAGGTTTTTACTTGGCCTAGCTACTATCATATTTCTTACCCCTGCAGGCCAAGGGTTACTCCAAATGCCAAGTAATTCAAACTCAATTATAGATTCAGGAATTGGGGTGGCGGGAACCACAGGGTCTGCACAGACCTAGTATATTGATTTTAAGCCATACTTTGGCCACAAATCTCTTTATTGCCTGGTTCACTTTTGCATCCACTCTGCAGAGGGTTATGATGGCACTGGGCTTCTAGGTATCTGTATTTGTTGAGGTTTTTCAGGGAAACAAAATAATAGTGTGTGTGTGTGTGTGTGTGTATGGAAAGAGAGATTTTAAGGAACTGGCACATCTGCAAGGAAGGCTGGCAAGCTGGAGACCCAGGGAAGAGTTGATATTATAATTCAGGTCCAAAGGCAATCTGGAGGCAGAATTCCTTTTCCTTAAAGAGGACCTCAGTCTTCATTCTTAAGCCCTTCAACTGATTGGATGAGGCCCACTCAGAATTATGGAGGGTAATCTGCTGGACTCAAAGTCTACTTATTTAAATGTTAGCCACATCTGAAAAATATCTTCACCATACCATCTAGACTGGTATTGCACCAAATATCTGGGCACCATAGCCTAGCCAAGCTGACACATGAAATTAACCCTCACAGTATCAATGTCAAATATTAGACCCTGTTCCAATAGTTTTCAAAATGTAGTGGTATTTCTCTTTCCCCATTGTAGAGTCACCCAAGCCAATGGCCATTCGTCCCTTGGGAAAGAACAAGGAGAATTGAGTATATATTTGCTAGGGTATTTCAGGGTCCTTCTTCCTGGAGACAAACCACCTCTTTATTCAGTGGTGCCCTAGTTAAGAATTTATTACCTCGCAGCTCCAAATTTACCCTTCAGTACTTACTCTATGATAATGGATGAAATTCTTCTAAGGATTTATCCTTTACAGTGAGCAAAATGCTAAGCTTTCTCAATGGCAGGTGCTAGAGGAATATTACAGGAGGAAGGAGCTTCTTCCACTCCTTCTGGCTGCTGTGCTGTCAGTGATGTGGTCAGTGGTGCTAACCTAGCCTTGTTCCCAGAATGCTCCCAGCCTAGCCCAACAATCTTCCTATAGCCCTCTCAATACAGATATTGTGCCCTCCAAGCCCTACAATCTCACCTTTTTGTATTTTATATTATTTTATTTTATTATGTTATGTTAATCACCATACATTACATCATTAGTTTTAGATGTAGTGTTCCATGATTCAT